ACAGGTAGAAAGGAGCTGTTATGGCAGGAGAAGCTTACACAGTCTCAACTGTCTTAAAAAAGCCTGCCGATCGCATTTTTATTTTTTTTTAAACTTTAGTTCCACTAAAACTGTGGAAAGAAGGACAAGAAGGGGTTCATTTTAAGAGAATAATGGTTCATTGTTACAAACCCTAACTAAGGATAAAACAGGAAGAAGTGAGTCAATGAGAGCTTAATTGTAATTTATTGGCTAATGCAGTGATCATGCAATGATTAACTGCTCTGAAAGACCCTCTATACCAGTGGTTCTCAACCTGTGTAACCTCAGCACCCACATTTGTCCTCGGTCATTAAGTCGCAACCCAAATCGCACTGCAATAGACCACACCGCATTGTGGTACCGCGCGTTCCGGTGCGGGCGATCCAATTGTGGGTGGGAGGTATGTTTGGGGTACCCTTAAAATGAATTGCAACGCAACATACCTCCCACACCAGAACGCGTAGTAGGTGTGATTGCGTGGTACAGTGCGTTACTGGGGTCCAGGCACCTCTACAGGACACATGAGGGAGCTGTAAGCAATGCATGTATGGATGGAGCTCCCTTGCGGCCATAGCCCCAGCCTATCCCACCACAAGCTGACACTCGATGCTGGGCAGCATATTCTCAATGGCTGCTCGGCGCGAGAACTGACAGTGCTGTATTAGAGGGAGGCTGAGGAGCCTCTCACCTAGAAAAGTGGAAGGCATGTGGCGACCCACTGAACATGGGGTCACGACCCACTTTTGGGTCACGACCCACCAGTTGAGAACTAAGGCTCTATACTATCTTATACTATCTAAAATATTAACTGGTTAAAGTGTGTGTAAACCCAACAATTAACTTCTCTTTTTTGTTCCCTTTTCAGCTGTTATATATGCCATTGGAAGTTTTTTTTATTATATTCTGTGTAATAAGTGCAAAAAAACACTGTCTAGAAATCTCGTGAGCTGATTCTCTCCTCTCTCCTCTCTCCTCTCTCCTCTCTCATCTCTCTCTCTCTCTCTTCTCTCTCCTCTTTCTCCTCTCCATCTCTCCTCTCTCTTTTTTTGCATGTTAAAATGCACATTTAACCCTTTCGCTGCCAGCACTGTATTTCTTACGGCGCTGGCTTCGGGCCCCTGTATATAGACTGGTGGCTATCTGTCTACCTGTGTGGAGCCGACGGTCAGCTTTACACTGAAAGTGATTCTGGCAGATGAGCTGCCTTCAGATCGCTTTTAGGTGCCAGCAAACAGGTTCACCTACCCGCCAGTCACCCTTGCCTTGCTTACCAGGCTCCGCTGCACGGCCTGCGGGACTGTCTTTACGGGTGTTGGCGGGGAGAGAGACCAGCGAAAATCCATTTGTAGATCTCCGCCCTGCTGAATCGAGCTGGAAGCAACACTGATTACATCACTTCTGGATTCTCAGATGTCATTCCCCAGCTTCTCTAGATGTGATCTAGTGTGATCTGCACTTAAATAGCTGCTTTGAAGTGGGAAGGTGACACTAGGGGTCTAATAGACGCCTAGTGTCACTTTAAAGAGAACCTGTAACCACTAATATGCTATCACATAGGGGGCTTGTGAGTAAAGTAAAAACAAGTTTTCAAAAATAAAGTTAAAATAAATGTATAAATAACAAAAACTAAATGTAAAGTCCCTTGTAAACACGTGCATACTAACATAAACACACGTCAGGTGTGTCTACGTACAAACAAATGTGCTACACATGTTGGGTATCACCATATGTGTCAGAGTGAGAGCAATAATTCTAGGACCCAAATTGATGATTAACTCTAAACTGATGACCTGCACAGGCTTTTAAAGCATCCCCTATGGACAATTTGGGGTACAGTATTTTGTAGCCATTTCATGGATGCACACAATTTTTAAGCTTAGCATGTTAGGTGTATATTTACTTGGCACAACCTCATATTTTATATGTTACAAAAAAATGGGTATTATATAGTGTTTGTGTGCTTTAAATTACCTTAATTGTAATTGTTACTGAAATTTTGGGTTTGAGTTAGGAACTAAGAGTCTGTGTGTTATTGGTGACGCACCAGAGGCGCAGAGCCTATGAAGGGCCAGGTCTTTCAAAGAGCCTGTAATGGTGAGGGTGATTGGCTGCTTCCAAGTTGCAGCCCTCTAACACACCAACACAGACAAAAGGGCTAGAGGAAGCACTGGGCAACTGGATACAAAGCCAGGTAGGGGAGAAAACTGAAACCAGGAGGAGGAGGAGAGGAACAGTGGCACACAAGAAAAGAGACACAAGCAAGGTGTAAAACGCACAGCACAGGATGCACTGAAGAGGGAAGCCACACAGACACTGGAGACAGAGGTACACAGGAAAGGTGCGCAGCAAGAAGTTCACTGGGAGCACGAATGTACACGGTACAACAACACATAAAGGAAGTGCGTTGCACAGAGATACGTGAGTAGCAAAAACACACAGGCAAAGTGTGTATAAGGGAATACAGGTTGCACAGAAGATTCACACAAGGAGCAGGACAGAAAACTAAGAGAGCGCAGGAAATGCCAATTACAGGAGTCACAAGAAACAAGAGATAAGACTTGTTACTCGAACCAAGAGCAACAAGTGAGGTAGAGCTAAAAAAAGAGAGAAGGAATGCAGATTGTCTGTAGTCTTGTGACACACCATAGGCTGTCAGCCAAGCACCGGGGACCAAAGGGTGCTTCCCGGACATTGTGATACCCATTACGTTAGAACGCGTTGCTGTTGACATTTGAGATTTGGAGTCTATTTGACCACTAATGTCACCTTTGCAGCCCAATGAAGCAGATCCCTGGCCCCTGTGGTCAGGGATAGAGAGCAGAACAGAAGAACTCAGGCTACATGGTGGGAGGTTCATGTGTACGGCAGGTGCAGGGGGTGTAGAAGTGATTGGGCAGCCTTACAGCTGCCTAAATCACTTCTAAAGGAAAGCTGACAGTCAGCGGAGGGAGTGTAAACAGTTTCCCAGTTGCTAAAATAGCCAGGAGGGAGGTTCCAGTTCCCTGCTGCCATGAACGTAGTACTTAAGTCAGTGGCACCAAAGGGTTAATAAAACAGAAGGGAGTGTGCAGGTATTGTAATAATGAGCAAAGTAATTTCTTATTATTTTGCACTGACATACACTTTGAATACAAATGTGTATACTGCCTTTAGTGACCAGCAGGTAGCCGACAGAGCCAAGTTAAAACTCCTGATCTGCATATTTGGGTTACTGTTTCAGGAAAAGCTAAAGCCATCAGATCAGCAGGACAGCCAAGCAAATAGCATTTTGTGGAACAAGGTCATAACGACATCCAAACAATAAAAAAAGGTAGATTCACACATCACTGCACAGAATGAACACATTGTGTATTTTATTACATTGTATTGTAAGTGAAGGATAAGCATAGTGATTTTATCGAAATTAATTTTAAAGCAGAACTCCGGTTAAATGTTTTTATTAACCCTTGCAGTGGGGCTACCCTGGCACTGCAAGGGTTAAGTGCTCATTTTTTTTGCCCAGGGTAAAAAAAAGTATTCTCACCCGATCCTCGGAGATGGCTGGCTCATAGACCACTCCCTGTAACCTCTCTCCCCCTCCGCTGCAGTGGTCTGAGGTCCCATAAATCATCACATTCTATATACAGTGTACAGGACACGAGGACGCCAGGGGACATACCATTGCTGCAGCAGAGGAGGAGACAGGCGGGAGGGAGCGCTGTCACAGCCGGCCGTCTCAGAGGATCGGGTGAGTATACCTTTTTTTTTTTCCCTAGGCAAAATGAGTACTTAACCCTTGCAGTGGGGAGTAGGCCCACTGCAAGGGTTAATACATTTTTTAGCCAGAGTTGTTCTTTAGGTTGCTTAGGCCCAATGTGCTTAATATCCAACTTAATATAAAACAGTCTACTCTGTTTTATTAATTTATTAAAAAGGTGTATTTATTTAGAGGGTGCGTTTCTCTATGTGTATGTAGGGTAGTTTACTATATTTTATTTATTGTATGTATAATAAGGCACAAGAACAGGTCCAGCATAGGTGAAAGTACCATCAGTAGCCGTCAGGAGCCATTTAAAGCCCACTGCACCCTTACTATATTTCATTTAATATTCATTGTATTTGTGAGGTTTTTTTTGTGTGTGTGAATTTAATCTTTATTTGTGTACTGTCTCTTTAAATTTTTCATTGTAATCTTCTCACTGTCTTTTTTTTCCTGAAAAAAATAATTAAATGAGATGCAAGAACAGTTCCAGGATAGATGAAAGGAGATTCCGTAGCTCTCAGGAGCCATTTATAGCCCATGCCGCCCTTAAAAAACACGTTAATTTTGCCAATGCAATACATTTCATCAAAATGGTAACATTTTGTGGAAATCTCACAATTGTTGCAGAATCTTATTAAAAATCTGGGTTTTGCTCATTTCTAGGAGTGGACATGGATATTCATTTATCATTATTATTATTAATATTATTATTACACAGGACTTATATAGCGCCAACAGTTTGCACAGTGCTTTACAAAATACATATGACATTTTCGGCTATACCAGTTATATCACTCTTACACTTTTACATTCCTCCATTTGTTTCATTTCTGAGAGCTCAGATTTCACAATGAACTTGTTCATTTTTTGGGAACATAATATCGTTGCAAATATGGCCCATGCAGCTTGAAACAACATCTCTCTGTTTGTTATAGGTGTGCTTTTGAATGTACTTTAGAAAGCAGGGCTTTTTTACAGCTGCACAGCAAACAATGCACTTAGATGAAATCCTCTCAATAGTCAGTGCACGCAGAGCATCCCCTCATTGCATACGGTAGCATGTGTGATCACTCCCAGCTCTCCAGTGTGTCCAAATTTCCTTTCTCTGCACTACCCATCCTCATAGATACACAACACGTGGTGGCTCCCTCCTCCGCGTCTCTCCCATTGGCTTGTTCTCCCGGCTTCGGTCCGCCTTCCTATTCCTATTATGGGGCAGCCTGAGTCCGAACTGGGAGCTACAAACAGCAGCATCAGTATCAGCATCAGCATCAGCATCTCTGGGTATCTATAGTACACACAGCATGGGGCTCTGCAGCACCCTCACTTGCCTGATGTGTCTCACTCTGCCCTGGTACCTCTACGCAGAACAAGGTAGGTCCAGCTGCAAAAAAGATTAACCCACTGTATTGCCATGAATGACAATAGTGTGTAGATATAGAAAGATGCTAGACTTGCTTTAATAGAGAATTCATAATTATATAGTGATGCATTTGTTTGCATATGGGTACATTATCAAGTGCATAAAAGACAAAGGCATGTTTTATACATAGAGATTACTGTGCTGTAATATTCCAGACATAGGGCTATTAACTTTAAGTATTTTGCAATGTGATGTCTGAATGCATTTCTAATACAAAAAAAAGCATGATAGCATGTCATACCAGTTACTAATACAACTAGCAGGAATGTTTTGCCATAGGGCAATACAGTTGTCATTGTTGCCAGTTTAAAGTACTAAACTACATTTAGTATATGCATTTATTTTTATGCTGCTGCTGTAATGAAGGTATAAAACCTGTGTGATGTATTATCTAATTGTTATCGTAATGTTATCTTGGCAGTTACTGTATACTGTTAAAAATGTAATGCATTAAGGGTTTTTAATTTTGCTGCGACTCAGTCAGCGGTGATATTGATGTCAATGAATGACAGTGTGTCTTTCATGAAAATATTGATTCATTATTACTCACACATCTAACTACAAATACAATTTTAGATGGGAATCAATACACTGCTACTTGCAGGAATACTTAGAAGCAAGGTATGCCATGCTATAGTTCAGTATCTATTGTTTTGATCTGTGGACAATCACCCCTGCGCTGGATAGTCTGAATTTAAAGGGCTGGCTTATCTGATTGCTTCTTGTAATGCATGCACGATGCAGCTAACCTTTTTGTCTTTGCTCTTCCTGCTGGATATTATGGCAGTGAGAAGGTTAATGGGGAAATTGAGTTTTAGCACAGACAGTGCAGATTTCAGAGGTGTCTCATGTGCAGACATTTTTCTGGGCATACTTTGGTCTAGTGCCTTGGTCCCTCTGTTGTTATTTGCAGCCGTGACACTTGACAACTGGCTGTGTTTGGCAAAACTGTGAAGTGGGAAGTCAACAAGAAGTCACAAAAGCATTGCTATATTTATGCTGGCCACTGAGGCTACTAGAGCTGATTTTCACAGCAGTATGGAAAATTATTGCTCAATGGTGCATGCATGATTTCTAATTGACTGGACTCTTCCTTAGTATCTTGACAGAGCGAGCCAGCAGGGAAACTGCATATCTCATCAATGACAGCTATTTACTGTAGAACTTAACTATTGGCACAAGATGGCATAATTACTTCCTAGTGACAAAAAAACATCCTCCGCCGTCCCAGCAAGATTTCTTTAGTTTAATCCGAGACGACAAGATTTTTTTTAACACTGTAACAAAGTACAATATAAATGTTACTCATTGAACTGATGACTCATATGATTTACTTACCATTGTAAGGTTTGTGCCAGCACGCCAAACGAGCAATCCCCTCTAAAGACGGAGTTAGGTTAAGAGAAATATTCTAGAATAAAAAAAATTCCACTTCTGATTGTATAAAGTGCAAATAAATGTTAGTAAATGATGGCTGTACTTTCGGAAGATAATGTAAAGGATGGAAATGATGATGATTGTGTTGTCCAATGCATTAACCAGTTGATCAGTTGACTGCAGTCCTGTTGGTAAAAGATACATTTTGATTGGGTAATGTGGTTAAATCGAACTTTGCACATTGTGCTTTGCCCTATTAAATAAATTAGTAGCCTTGATTGTGTTTTTATTAAACAGGGGTGTGTCTGCTATAAAAAATGAATATATACACAAGATTCACCTGTTAAGTGAACACCACATTTAACTTTGTAAAGGGAAAGACTCCTTAGGATTTGGAAAGTGTTGCTAAAGCTGTGAGTTAAGTGACACCAAATGTACCAGCTGGTAGGCAGCACACAGTAAGCGAGGCAATGTCTAGCAATCTACAAATATTGCATTCTGGAGATGTCAGTTTGCTTTCTTCTAATGTAATAATTCTATACCCAGCCACCCTTCATGTAGAGATTTTACACGCTAGAGAAGTTGAATAAAAATGGGTTAAAAATTACTTTTCAGTAATATTAGTAGAATTATATCCCAGTGGGTTCTTATTATGCAACATTCAAACCTGGGGCTTTCTTATGATCTTTGCCATATATGTCTTTAAATAAATGTTTATACCCATTCTGCATATTTGTTCAGAACAGTCGTAAATTCCCACTACACAACAGTTATAAAGATGAAGTTATTTAACGGCAGTGTGAAATAAGTAGAAGATGCTGCACTGTGTAAAATGGACAGGTGATCCTTTACAGCTTGCAATCTGCCGCAATGGAAAAGAGCACTGTGTAAAACAAGCCAAAGAATCTTAGAAATATTTGAAGTCACTTTCATCTAGGTGAATAACTTGTTTTTAGAAGTCCATTTTCATCCAGGCTTCAAGATGCTGGAGGAAGGTGTATGATGAATTCCGAAAAGGAAAAGGGCCAGAGTTGCAGAGAGATGAGAGAGAAAGATTTAGGTATGAGTGTTGTAGATATAAGCGGTTCAAAGATGAGGCATTTCTGAGCTTGGTATAAGAGGACTGATGGAAGCAGAGATTGAAGATGATATACATGGATGTGCCAAACAATGTTAAGCCTTGTAGGGAGTGAGGGAAATGGGAACTTTTTAGAGAAAAGGCTAGGGATAGTACAAGTTTTAATATTTTGCTAAGCATATGAAAGTTGCATCACAAAGATATGATCTGATCAGTGAACACAGGTTATATGCACGCCACCCACACACACTATATACTGTATTTGTATTTGTTATTTGAATAAATATGCAGTTAAAAAATGTCCTCCAATTTTTTGTGATTATTTCTGCTGTGTTTACTGCCATTTTCTGTGTGTGTTGGACTAAAACAATATCACATACAGATCCATGCATGTCAATAAACACAGAGAACAATGTAATGTTATCTGAATAACATTTAATGCAGAACTATCTCTGGAAAAGAAAGCTATATTCTCGAAAACATTTTGTAATTAAACTTTACACCTAAATAAATTATTAAAATATATAATATTGCTACTATTATTATGATACATATACATATATATATACATATGTAATATGTATATATATATATATATATATATACACGGTATATACTGTATATATATATTTACAATTATCACTACAAGCTTGGTATTCTATCTTTGTTCTTGCTACAAACAGACTATGGGTAGCAGTGATTAGTGAATCATTTATGGTCACTTTTCCCGAATCGCCTGATGAAGGAACCAAAAGTGGCTCCAAAATGTTGCATTCTCTGTAGCAAGATTTACATGTGTCAATCAAGACTATTTTGGTCACTTGATCCTGGTGGGATGGTGACATATTGTTTCTACTTCCTCTGCAGTGACACACGTAAAAAAAAAAATCAAAATCTATTATTAATTCCCCTTTAACTTGTACATATTAGCAGATACTTTGAATGTACGTTTTGTGATCTAGCAGGTAGGTTGTGAATAGCGGGTAGGTTGGATGGGGAGGGGTGTTTAAATTTGTCTACTAAGAATGGGGTGTTTCTGAGTTATGACTCTATCAGTCACCTTAAAAATCCAAATGGATGTTCCCTGCAATAAAAGAGTTATAATTTTCTTCCCTCTAGTTCTCCATGTCTCCTACCTTCCATTCCAGTACTACAGTCTCTGTCAGACTCTTCAGCATTCAACATTTCCAGGAGTGTCAGATGCCCAAGCCCTCCCCTGCACTCTTTGCTTCCATCCTCCAAACTCCTAGGTCACTACAGGATGCAGCAGTGACGTTGGAGTTGAAGGGTTGATGTAACAGATGTGCTGAATGCTGAAGAGTTTGAAGCAGGCTGTAGCACTAGAATGGAGTGAAGGTTGGTGACGCTGGCCACCAGAGAGGTGAGCGTAATAGCTTTTTTGTTGCAGCTTTTGCTCACCATATCATACCTAAGCACTTTAATTTGTAACACAATAGCCCTATCTATGAAGCAATAGAAGGTTTATTTCCTGAGTTTGGTTGATACCACTGAGCAGTGATCATAAAGTGGGCACAGACAACATATTTGCATATTACTACTCCTTCTAAGAATTTCTGGTGCTTTAGTATTCTAAAAACTGTAGCCCATCTGCTTTCAAAAGCAGGCCTGATAAGGACTAGGAACCAAAAACATTGGAGGTACACCAATTTCTCTATACCTTCTCTTCTAGTAACTGACTTTCAGGTATTGAAAACAACTTAATGATTGCTGCCCATATTCTTTCTTCACTATAGACTGATAAGCTCACACTTTGAAGATGTATAATGCATTCTTCAATACCATGTTTTGGCACACCAGTCATCACTGTAGTAAAGGACCGATTTCTCTCATATTATTTCCCCATCATGATGCATTAATTGATAGATTCATCTTAGAACACAAACTGCTATTAATGGGGGAGTGTTGAGTGTGAACCTACAGGGGCTGTTTACTGCTGCAGATTATGATTAGCTGCTAGGTCAGCTTACATGTGAATGACCAAGGGAGAAAATCTGTTGGCCTTGATAAAGTGAAGTCACACACAGAAATGCTGCAGGTTGCCTACGCCTCATATTCTCCACCAGTTTTCTGTATCATTGATTAATTCTGAGTGTGATAGGTATAGATGGTCCTGTTTTCATGGCAACTAATCCTATTCTTTATATGCAAGATATTGTAAGTAAGGTTATGACTTTTACTTTACATATAATATAGGTTGATAATTGTTAGACCACTTAGTGTCTTTGTGAATAATTTTGAATTACATTGAGCAGCAGGAAAACAAAGAGAGCCTGGTAATGAAAAACGCCACAGCATTTGCTAAGTTGAAGCACATTATATCTGGAAGATTCTGTCAGCAGCTAAATAGCCTGTCTGCTCATTACTGTATTGTCCATAAGAGTCACATAATATGTCAGAAAAACATGTTCATTGTATTCTGTACATTATCTGCTATAAAATCTCACTGTGCCTCCGAGACATGTTCCTTCTGTACGT